ATCTTTGTATCTTTCCTGTAAATCTGAAATTATACCTAAAATTAATTTATTAATTTTAAAGAATATGACTGGCCACAGTGGCTCATGCCTGTAATCCTAGCACTCTGGGAGGCTGAGGCAGGAGGATCTCTTGAGGCCAGGAGTATGAGATCAGCCTGAGCAAGAGCGAGACGCCATCTCTATTAAAAAAAAAAACCGGAGGCTGGGCGTGGTGGCTCACGCCTGTAATCCTAGCACTTTGGGAGGCCGAGGCGGGTGGATTGCTCAAGGTCAGGAGTTTGAAACCAGCCTGAGCGAGACCCCGTCTCTACCAAAAATAGAAATAAATTAATTGACCAACTAAAAATATATATACAAAAAATTAGCCAGGCATGGTGGTGCATGCCTGTAGTCCCAGCTACTCGGGAGGCTGAGGCAGTAGGATCGCTGAGCCCCGGTGATTGAGGTTGCTGTGAGCCAGGCTGACGCCACGGCACTCACTCTAGCCTGGGCAACAAAGTGAGACTCTGTCTCAAAAAACACCAGAAAGATTAACTGTGTATGGTGGCACATGCCTGTAGTCCCAGCTACTTGGGAGGCAGGAGGATTGCTTGAGCCCAGGAGTTGGAGGTTGAGGTTGCAGTGAGCTACGATGACACCACTGCACTCTAGCCTAGGTGACAGAGCAAGGTCTTGTCTCAAAAAAAAAAAAGTATGCTTATTACAATTTCAGATAAAGATGTATTTCTACTGTGACAATTTACTCCTGCTAATTCTGTTAAATTTTGCTCATGTATTTTGAGATTATGTTATTAGATGCATAAAAATCTTGGTTTTCATTATCAAAAACTGATCTTTACTTCTTGTGGCAATTCTCATGGGTCTAAGGAAGAGTCAATCAGGTATCTTCTTTCCAAGCGTATCCAGGAACATACAAATTTAAAATTATTATATCTTCTTGGCAAATTAAGCATTCTATCATTAGTAATGCTTCTTGATTTAAAGTATATTCTTCCTAATATCACCATAGGCACACCAGCCTTTTGTTTTTATTTTATTTTTTTATTTTTTTTGAGACAGAGTCTTGCTTTGTTGCCCAGGCTAGAGTGAGTGCCAACGCATCAGCCTAGCTCACAGCAACCTCAAACTCCTGGGCTCAAGCAATCCTGCTGCCTCAGCCGCCCAAGTAGCTGGGACTACATGCATGCGCCACCATGCCCGGCTAATTTTTTCTATACTTTCTATACTTTTCTATACTTTCTATACTTTTCATGAGTACTCTGGAAGAGCACAATAGCACTTTCTGCAATGATCCAAATATTCCAAATCTATGTTACCCAATAGGATATTCACTAGCCACCATGTGGCTAGTGCAACTCAGGAACTAAATTTTTAATTAATAAATTTAAATAGGCATTCTTGGTTATCATATTGGACAGAGAAGCTATAGAAAGTATAACACCTACCCCTACCATATCAAAGTCAGAATTTAATTATTCTCTTTTTAACAATTCTCTCCATTCACTCTTACTTCCATTTGCGACGACTTTCCTTCTGAGCAAAATACTTGTTTAGAATTTCCATTATGATAGTCTACTGGCAGCAATTTATCTTATTTTAATTAATCTGAAAAACTGTAAACTACCTGGTACTGTCACCTGCCAGGACCCAACATGGTCCACTTTGGATGTTTGACTGCTGGGCATGTATAGACTTTTCAGTGATATTCTCAAAAAACACCAATAGAGATACAGTTGCCTGGTTTATATAATACTAAGCCACCCTTCCATTGCCCAGAATACCAGCTGCTTTTTACCAAAAGAGATCTTTTACCAACAGAGATGAAAATGCACGGCCAAGTACTTGCTATTATAATCTCTCCTTCCCTGTTAATGTATGCATGCTGCATTCCATCAGTTAATATTTATTAAGAGCCTATTATGTACTAGGTACCTGTTCTAGACACTAAGATATAAGAACTCACCCCTCATAAAATCTACATTCTAGTGGGAGATGACAGTTAATCAGGGACAGTTAATAAGGTAAGGAAATAAATAATAATTCCAGATAATGGTAAGTGGTAAAGAAAATCAAATAAGGTCATGGGAGAGTAAATTACTAGAGAAAGACAAGGTAACTAATTTCAACAAGTCAGTTAGGGAGGGCTTCTCTAACAAGGTGATATTTGACCTAAGACCTGAATAATGAGGAACAAGAAATATAGAGATCTGTGAGAACAATGTCTTAGGGTAGGAAAACAGTATCACACAATGAGTGATCCACAGCACAAAAACCCTGAGGCAGGAACGAGCTTGACACATCTGAGGAGCAGAAAGGCAGCTAGTGTTGCTGGAGGGTAGTAAAAAGGTAAGAGAAGTACATGAGGTGAAGTTGGACAGCTAGGCAGAGTAAAGATCATGCAACATACCATAAAAGCCCTAATAAGGATTTTATCTTATTTTAATTACACTGGAGGCTTTTAAGGAAATAAAGAGGACATGAGGATAAATGGGTGGGTTTATTTTTACAAAGATCACTCTGAGTTCCAGGATAATTCAATGGAGAAAGAATAATCTTTTCAATAAATGGTACTAGGACAATTGTATATAGACATGAAAAAGGATAAAGTTGGGCCATTTCCTCAAACCCTGTACAAAAATTGACCCCAAATGGATCATACTCCTAAATGTAAGTGCTTAAATTATAGAACTCTCAGAAGAAAATACAGGAGTAAATCTTTTAATATTTGGTTAGGTAAAGCCTTCTTAGATAGGACAACAGAAGCATAAGTGACAAAAGAAAAATTACATAAATCTGACTTCATCAAGATTTCATGAAAAGTCTAGGATAGCCAAATCTTTAGAGACAGAAAGGAGGCTGGAAAGGTGAGGGAAAATAGAGAGTAATTGCTAATGGGCATGGGGTTTGTTTTTGGGGAGATATTGTTCTAAAATTGATTCAGGTAACAGGTATATACCAAACAGTGCTTGAGCAAGTAGACATCCACAGGAAAAAAAATAAATAAACCTAAATCTTTATATAAAATTGACTTAAAATGCAACATGGACTTAAATGTATAACATAAAACTATAAAACATTTAGAAAAAAAGCCAGGAGACGATACTCAGCATCTAGAGCCAGGCAAAGTTCTTAGACTTAACACCAAAAGAATGAAGCATAAAGGAAAAAACTGATAAACTATACTTCAGTAAAATTTTAAAAACTTTTTGCTCTGTGAAGATTCTGTTAAATTTATGGGAAAAAAAGCTACAGACTATGAAGAAATATTGGTAAAATATATATCTGACAAAGAATTAGTATATAGATCATATAAAGAACTCTCAAAACTCAACTACAATTAATCTAATTAGAAAATGGGCAAAAGACATGAAGAGACATTTACTGAAGAGTATATACAAATGGCAAACAAGTACATGAAAAGATGTTCAACAGTATATTATCCATTAAAGAAATGCAAATTAAAATTATGAAGAAATATTACTATATAACTATCAGAATGGCTAAAATTAAAAAGTGACAATATAGGCCGGGCACGGTGGCTCACGCCTATAATCCTAGCACTCTGGGAGGCCGAGGCGGGCAGATTGCTCAAGGTCAGGAGTTCGAAACCAGCCTGAACAAGAGCGAGACCCCGTCTCTATAATTGACCAACTAAAAATATATATACAAAAAATTAGCCAGGCATGGTGGTGCATGCCTGTAGTCCCAGCTACTCGGGAGGCTGAGGCAGTAGGATCGCTGAGCCCCGGTGATTGAGGTTGCTGTGAGCTAGGCTGACATCACGGCACTCACTCTAGCCTGGACAACAAAACGAGACTCTGTCACAAAAAAAAAAAAAAGTGACAATATAAAACACTGATGGTGATGTAGAGAAACTGGCTCATTCATCCATTACTGTTAGGAATGCAAACTACTGGTACACACACTCTAGTAAATAGCTTGGCAGTTTCTTAAAAAAAAAGACACAAGTGGCCAGGTGCAATAGCTCATGCTTGTAATCCCAGCACTTTGGGAGACCAAGGTGAGAGGATCATTTGAGGCCAGAAGTTTGAGACCAGACTGGGCAACATTGAAAGACCCCATCTCTACAAACATTTTTTAAAAAATTAGCCAAGTATGGTGGCATGTGCCTATAGTCCTAGCTACGCGGGAGGCTGAAGTGGGAGAAGTGCTTGAGCCCAGGATTTGGAGGTGTCAGTGAGCTATGATTGTGCCATTGCAATCTAGCCTGGGCAACAGAATGAGATCCTGTTTCTAAAAAACAAACAAACAAAATTACACAAGCAATTACCATATGACCTAGCAATTGCACTTCTGGCACTTAATCCAGAGAAATGCAAGCAAAAAACTGTATATAAATGTTTATAGCAGCTTTATTCATAATGGCTAGGAACTTGAAAAAGTCCAGATATTATTTAATATGTAAAACTGTGGTATATCCATACCATGGAATATTACTCAGTAATAAAAAGGAATAAACTATTGATATATGGAATAACTTGGATGATGCTCCAGACACATGAGTAAAAAAAGGCAATCACAAAAGAGCACATAGTATAATATTTGCATACGAAACCCTCCTAGACTCTTCCATGTGTCTCTTTCATTGGCTGACTTCAATCTCTACCTTTGCGCAGCTATAAACTATAATGGTGAGTATCATAGGCTTCAGAGAGTTCTGTGAGTCATTCTATTGAATTATTAAACCTGAAAGTAGTTTTGGGAAACCCCTGAACCTGCAGTTGTTGTAAAAAGTGAGAGTGATCTTGTGTGAACTCTTCCCTCTGACTCTGTAGTTGGGTCCTAACTATGCAGTTGGGGTCAGAAATGTTGGGCAGACTTAGTAGTCTGGAGGACTGTGCTCTTAACCTCATAGTTTAGCTAATTTCAGGAGAAACCACAAACATGTAAGTATCAGAAAATATAAATTTAGATTAATTTGACAAATTAACAAATTTTTCTAGCATTTGTGTTTATATAATTTAAATTCGTCTACTTACCTGAGGGTCTACTAACCACCCATGGTACAAAGGAATATCAAGAAGATCAAATACTATGCATTCTGGTGTATATTCAAATACTCGAACACCAGTGAATCTTACATTTACATCCAGGCCTGTCTGTAGTTTATGCAAAATTGCCATAGCATCACTCATATTCTGAAAATAGAAAGGGGAAAGATATATTTCAAAAAAAATCTGAACAAGAACAAAAAAGATATTTAAGTACAAGCATATTTACTTTTAATTTTCCATTTTATCCAATTCATGTCTTCAACAAAATTTTACCATTAAATTTCTACTATGTGCTAGGCACTAATCTGAGTTCTAAAGATGTAATAGTCAATAAAACAGACAAAGTTCTTGCTTTCATGCAACTAACATTCTATTGAGGTAGATGGACATGTATACATATAATACTACATCAAATATTAGTAAGAAAAATTGAGCAGGATGAGGTTGTGTAGAGTGGTAGGGCAGAAGGACCTGTTTTATTTTAGACCAGGAAGTCTAAAGTCAAAGTTTCTAAAGGCCTCTCCCATTTCTGAATCCAAAAGAATTAAAAGCAGGCTCTTGAAAAGGTATTTGCACATCCATGTTCATTGCAACATTATTCACAATGGCCAAGAAGTGGAAGCAACCCGAATGTTCACTGACAGATGTATAGATAATGAAAATGTGGTATATACATACAATGGAATATTATTCAATGGAATATTAAAAAAGAAGGAAATCCTGTCACATGCTACAATATAATACGGATGAAACTTGAGGACATTATGCTGAGTGCAATAAGCCAGGTACAAGAGTACAAATACTGTGTGATTCTCCTTATATGAGATATTTAGGGTAATCAAAATTATGAAAACAGAAACTAGAATAGTGGTTTACAGGGAGTTGGTGGTAGTGGAAAATGAGGAGTTGTTGTTCGATAGGTATAGTGTGTCAGTTTTACAAGATGAAAAAGTTCTAGAGATCTGGTATACAACACTGTGAGTATAGTTCGCATTGCTGAACTGTACACTTAAAAATATGTAAGAGCATAAATTTTATATATTTTTACTACAGTTAAGAAAAAGGTAGCATGCCTTAACAAAAACTGGTTTTCAATTTTAAAAAGAAAGAGAAACTTAAGAAATACCAACTAATTACAACTACATAAAGTTACTTGGATTCTGATTCTAACAAATACACTGAAAAAAAATCAGGGAAACCTGAACACTGACTTAATATGAAATTAATAAATTAATGTTTTAGATATAATGATGGTATAATTGTTTAATAAAAATAGATTTTTATTTTTAAAAGAAAAAAAAGATAGAAATGAGTTATCAAGCCATGAAAATACATAGAGGAAACTTAAATGCATATTACTAAAAGAAAGAAGCTAATCTGAAATGGCTACATACTACATGATTCCAAATAATATTCTGGAAAAGGCAAACCTAGAGAGATAGTAAAAGGTCAGTGGTTAGGGGGGAGGGGGGAAGGAACGAATAGGCAGAGCACAGAGGATTTTCAGGATAGTGACACTACTCTGTAGGATACTACAATGGTGGATGTGTGTCACTATACATTTGTCAAAACCCCTAGAATATACAACACCAAGAGTGAGTAAATTATAGACTTTAGGTGATGATGAAGTGTCACTGTAGGTTTATCAATATAACAAATGTACCACTACAGTGCGGGATATTGATAGTTGGGGAGGCTATGTATGTAGGGTGAGAAGAGACAGCAGGCATACAGAAATTTTCTGTACTTTTCAAACTCAGTTTTGCAGTGAATGCACTGAACCTAAAAATGAGGGAGGGAGGGAGGAAAGGCAGGTAGGCTTCCTTGAAAATGACACTTGAAGAAAGACCAAAGGAGCACTGACTCTTGGAAAGCTCTGTGGGGGGGGGACGACATTCCAGACGTAGACACTAGTGCAAAAACCCTGATGTAGAAATGAATCTATTACTGTGCCATGGAACAACAAAGAGCACAGCGTGACTAGGACAAAATGAAGTGGAAAGTTGCAGAAGATGAAATGTAAGGGACAGGCAGAGGCTGGATCACAAAGACTTGTTAGCCAAATTAAGGAGTCATTCTGTCCATATCAGTTTTCTATTTTTTTTTGAGAGAGAGTTTCACTTTGTTGCCCAGGCTAGAGTGAGTGCCGTGGCATCAGCCTAGCTCACAGCAACCTCAAACTCCTGGGTCAAGCAATCCTGCTGCCTCAGCCTCCCAAGTAGCTGGGACTACAGGCATGCGCCACCATGCCCAGCTAATTTTTTCTATATATATTAGTTGTCCAATTAATTTCTTTCTATTTATAGTAGAGATGGGGTCTTGCTCTTGCTCAGGCTGGTTTAGAACTCCTGACCTTGAGCAATCCTCCCGCCTCGGCCTCCCAGAGGGCTAGGATTTACAGGTGTGAGCCCCCACGCCCGGCCTTTATCAGTTTTCTAAATAAATGTGGTTATATAGGTCTATAATGAAGACTATTTTAAAAAATGTTTTTTTAAAAACATTTTAACATATTAAATATGGACACGCTTATAGAGGATATATTTGGTAGAATAAAAACCAATACATAAAATCTAATAAACTTTTACTGAATCCCTACTGCTAGTCAAACACTGCTAGATACTAAAGATATAAAATAGGAATAGCAGACTATAGTCTACTAGAAGAGCTTATAATAAAAAGGGTGAATATAACATAAATTCTCTTATTAAAACTAAGGGCCTTCTTTGAAATTTGAAAAAGACAAATTTAGGTCATGAAAACAGAGTTCTGTTTTACCAAATAACTTATAAAATTCCATTTAAGAAATTGTACAGATTGTAAACAGGAATTATTTAAATGTTTTAAAGTCATGAATGATGCATTTATAATAGGATAACATTCTTAAACTACAGTCTTTGACTTTTTGTCAGTTCCCCCCTTCCTAATATATATGTTCTCTGAAAACAATATATTTTTCTCAAACCCCCCCTCCTAGGCAAAGTTGAGCCCTTAAAAACAATCAGTTTGGCTGGGCACAGTGGCTCACACCTGTAATCCTATCATTCTGGGAGGCTGAGGCAGGATAGCTCAAGGTCAGGAGTTCAAGACCAGCCTGAGCAAGCGCACAAGAGTAAGACCCCTGTCTCTACTAAAAATAGAAAGAAATTAGCTGGACAACTAAAAATATATAGAAAAAATTAGCCAGGTATCGTGGCGCATGCCTGTAATCCCAGCTATTTGGAAGGTTGAGGCAGAAGGATCGCTTAAGCCCAGGAGTTTGAGGTTGCTATGAGCTAGGCTGACACCATGGCACTCTAGCCCGGGCAACAGAGTGAGACTCTGTCTCTAACTAACTAACTAAATAAATAAATAAATTTATAAACAAAATTATAAATTTATAAACAAAATATAAATTTATATAATTTTATAAATAAAATTATAAACTAACTAAATAAATTTACAAACAAAGAGTTTAAAAGGGTAAGTATTTTGCCACTTTATTCCAAATTATGATACTTACTATTATAAAATATAAATGTGAGGGATGGTTGCTTACATTACAGGAAAGGATTACTATTGAATCCTTTAAGGCAGTGGTCAAACTTTCTTAGAACTCTTTCCAAAGTTACACTTTTAACATGGTAAACTTATTTTAAATTTAAATATAAAATATATTTTAAAAAGTATTTGCAGTCATTTAAAAACCTAACATGTCTCACACTGTCTAACAATTAGGGAAAAAAGCCTGACATGAACATATACACATGTATCATGATTTCTTATACTGTCATGGTATCTGTCAACATTAGGCAAAACTGGAAAAAATATACCTTGTTTACATTACAAATTCTAGTAAAGAGGCTTTAATTGGGAACACTGCAGCTCTGCATTGGTCTTTGTAAAATTTAGATTTTTCTTTTAATGTCTACTCACATAGAATTATATAAAAAAGAACACTGTAACATTACATTTGTAGAACATTAAATTAAATACTAGCTTAGACTCAGCTTGGTACATACTATTCTCAAAACTAATGGTAATGTAAATAATAACAACTTATAGTTTTAGTGATTATTTAATTTAATTTATTTATTTATTTATTTTTTTGAGACAGAGTCTTGCTTTGTTGCCCAGGCTAGAGTGAGTGCTGTGGCGTCAGCCTAGCTCACAGCAACCTCAAACTCCTGGGCTCAAGCAATCCTCCTGCCTCAGCCTCCCAAGTAGCTGGGACTACAGGCATGCACCACCATGCCCGGCTAATTTTTTATATATATATTAGTTGGCCAATTAATTTCTTTCTATTTATAGTAGAGACAAGGTCTCTCTCTTGCTCAGGCTGGTTTCGAACTCCTGACCTTGAGCAATCTGCCCGCCTCGGCCTCCCAGAGTGCTAGGATTACAGGCATGAGCCAGTTTTAGTGATTATTTTAAATGCAGGCTACTTTTTGCCTGACATCCTGACAGGTTTATAAGTAATAGAAGTTGTTAGATCAGTTGTCAGATCATTTGTCTCAACTCTGAAATAATACTTTACTTCCAATCACTCTTCAAGAGTCAGCCTAATGGAAGTGTATGCTGAGACTACAAGATGGACTCGAAACAAAAAAATGCTAATATCATTTACAATAATTTGTCAATCAAGATTTTCTCAAAACTATGCTACAGAAGTAAAATGAATTTGGAGGATAAGAAATTGCAAATATCATCCATAATCCCTAATTTTTAGTATTAATCAAAATAGCCTCACTGATTTCAATAAAAAATAATATGTGATAAATGATATAAATTGATCCATATCACTTTATACTTATATAACATCATTTACTGGTTTTATATATTGGAAGTTGGATAAGATTTCATTTGAAAAGAGGTTTCCATTGCTAAGTCTCTGGAAATCTCTACTTCAAACAACAAATTCCCCAAATGAAATTTAAATGACTTAGTATACAAATTTGGCTTTAGCTATAGATTTCCTATCTTATAATATGGTGCAATGCAAGATGCTGGTGTTTTAATTCCATTAGGACTAGATTATCTAAACATTTAAATTCAAAAAAATTTGTAATACTGAAATGAGTTATGCTTCCTTCCTGCAAATTTGATACTAGTGAAAGTATGTTTAAAAAGTTGCTTTGCGGCCGGGCGCGGTGGCTCACGCCTGTAATCCTAGCACTCTGGGAGGCCGAGGTGGGCGGATTGCTTGAGGTCAGGAGTTCGAAACCAGCCTGATCAAGAGCAAGACCCGTCTCTACTATAAATAGAAAGAAATTAATTGGCCAACAAATATATATAGAAAAAAAAATTAGCCGGGCATGGTGGCGCATGCCTGTAATCCCAGCTACTCGGGAGTTTGAGGCAGAAGGATCGCTTGAGCCCAGGAGTTTGAGGTTGCTTGAGACGAGGCTGACGCCATGGCACTCACTCTAGCCTGGGCAACAAAGCAAGACTCTGTCTCAAAAAAAAAAAAAAAAAAAAGTTGCTTTGAAAGTAAATACGAAGGTTCCAATGATCTCTAAATCTTCCTGGGCTGATACTTCTTTCTGCTCTAAGAAGCTAATTCCTTCATACCTTCTATTGTCAAGCAAAGGAAGAATACTGAAGACAATGAAGCTCTGCTTGCTTACTTCCAGCTCCAATAATTTGAGCCTAGTGACCCTCTATATTGCAGAACAGAGTCTCTAAAGAACATGCACAAGAAATGTGAACATATAAAAACTATAAATAGCAGCATTTGTACATATAGACATACCCTAGACATCCTCTGCTCAACTTTCTTCTAAACATAACTTAATTGAAAAATATAAATAAAACGAGGAAAGATGAATAAATGACAAATTCACTTGAATGTGAATTTTCAAGAAAAATACCAGGTTAGCATTCTAATTGATCTATAGAATGATAATCTGGCTATGAACTGAAAATTGTTTTTAATTTTCAAAGGGTGTAAAAAAGAAACAAAGAATATGGAACAGAGATGACCATATGTGGCCTGCAAAGCCTAAAAAATTTATTACTAATCCTTTATTTAAAAAACTTGCAAATACTGATAGAGACCTACATATATATATGTATTCATAACTAAAATTATATATTTAATATAACAAATTATTACCTGTTCATAATTTAAACGTTGAATTTCTGAAATTTCTTTTGGCTTTGCATCAAGCATGTAATCTCCTGAAAAAGAAATAGTGAAACTGTCTTTTAAAATATAACTCTTTCCGATTACAAATAATAGATTTTAATTATAAATTTTAAACATGTAGCAGTAGTAGGTAACATATTAAGTTGACTGCTCAATTCTACCCAGAGAAAAATCACATTAATTGCTATCAACTCACATATTTTTTCAATGTAATACTATAATGCTTTTGTTGTTGTTTTTGTTGTTTTGTTTTGAGACAGAGTCTCGCTTTGTTGCCCAGGCTAGAGTGAGTACTGTGGCATTAGCCTAGCTCACAGCAACCTCAAACTCCTGGGCTCAAGCAATCCTGCTGCCTCAGCCTCCTGAGTAGCTAGGACTACAGGCATGCGCCACCATGCCTGGCTAATTTTTTCTATATATATTAGTTGGCCAATTAGTTTCTTTCTATTTATGGTAGAGATGGGGTCTCACTCTTGCTCAGGCTGGTTTAGAACTCCTGACCTCGAGCAATCCACCTGCCTTGGCCTCCCAGAGTGCTAGGATTACAGGCATGAGCCACCGCGCCCGGCCTACTATAATGCTTTTTTAACTTTTTTTTTCTGTCTATTTCAGCATTTTTTTTTTTTTTTTTTTTTGAGACAAAGTCTCTGTCACCATGGGTAGAGTGCAGTGGTATCATCGTAGCTCACAGCAACCTCAAACTCCTGGGCTCAGGCACTCCTCCTGCCTCAACCTCCTGAGTAGTCGGGATTAGAGGTGTGCACTAGCATGCCCGGCAAATTTTTTTAATTTTTGGTAGACAGGGTCTCACTCTTACTCAGGACGGTCTCGAACTCTTGATCTCAAGGGATCCTCCCACCTTGGCCTCCCAAAGTGCTAGGATTACAGGTGTGAGCCATAGTGCCTGAACACTTGAGCATCTCTGCATGTCACTACATATAAAGCTCCCAAAGGTTGTACCAAACTTCATTGCTGTCAACATTGTAACTATTTCCCTACTACCTCACCAACAATGGGTATGATCAGTTTTCTAAATGTTTACAACTCTGAGAAGTAAACAAAAAGTTTTTTACATTTAAAGAAACCAACATTTTAACATATGAATTTTTATTTGGTATCACCTCTTTTTTCTTTCTTAATTTTTATTTTCTTAGAGACAGGGTCTCATTCTGTTGTCCAGGCTGGAGTGCAATGGCCCAATTATAGCTCACAGCAACCTCAAACTCCTGGGCTCGAGTGATCCTCCTGCCTCAGCCTCCTGAGTAGCTGGGATTACAGGCACATGCCACCATACCTCGCTAATTTTAAAACTTTTTCTTATAGAGACAGTGTCTCACTGTGTAGACCAGGCCGGTCTCGAACTCCAGGCCTCAACTGATCCTCCAATCTTAGCTTCCCAAAGCACTGGGATTATAGGCGTGAGTCACACAGCACCCAACCTTGGTATCACCTTTTTAATATACGTATAACCTTTTCATGTATGTAGTAACTTTTAAATACATGTGGCACCTTTTAAAAATATGGAGCACTATTTTAATATATGGAGTACCTTTTTATCTATGTATTGACTTTTAAATTATGTATTAACTCTAAATACTTTTATCTTTTTATTACCTGCCAATATATTTATCATCCTTTTTTTTTTTGAGATAGAGTCTCACTCTGTTGCCTGGGCTAGAGTGCCATGGCATCAGCCTAGCTCCCAGTAACCTCAAACTCCTGGGCTCAAGTGATCCTCCTGCCTCAGCTTCCCAAGTAGCTGAGACTACAGCCATGCACCACCATACCCAGCTCATTTTTTCTATATATTTTTAGTTGGCCAGTTAATTTCTTTCTATTTTTAGTAGAGATGGGGTCTCGCTCTTGCTCAGGCTGCTTTTGAACTCCTGACCTTGAGCGATCCTCCCACATTGACCTCCCAGAGTGCTAGGATTACAGGCGTGAGCCACCACACCCGGCCTATCATCTTTTCTTATTGAACTATAAAAGCCCTTTTTCAATGAAGTGAATTAGCACATTTCCTGTTATATATGTGCTAAATATTTTTTCCCATATTGGCTTCTGACTTTATGGTGGGGGAGGTTGTCTATTTTTTGCCGTACAGAAATATCTAATTTTAATGTACAGCTTCTAATACACCTTCTGTTTTTTTTTTTTTTTTTGAGACAGAGTCTCACTTTGTTGTCCAGGCTAGAGTGAGTGCCGTGGCGTCAGCCTAGCTCACAGCAACCTCAATCTCCTGGGCTTGAGCGATCCTTCTGCTTCAGCCTCCCGAGTAGCTGGGACTACAGGCATGCGCCACCATTTTATATATATATATCAGTTGGCCAATTAATTTCTTTCTATTTATAGTAGAGACGGGGTCTCGCTCTTGCTCAGGCTGGTTTTTGAACTCCTGACCTTGAGCAATCCGCCCGCCTCGGCCTCCCAAGAGCTAGGATTACAGGCGTGAGCCACAGCGCCCGGCCTAATACACCTTCTGGATTAGATGTTATATCTAGAAGGATCTTCACCACTTAAGAGTATACAAATATTCACATAATGCTTTCTTCATATAATTTTATGTTTGTCTTTTTAAATTTTTAAATCTGTCATTTATCTGGAATTTATCTTGATATAAACAGTGAGATATGGAACCAGCTTCTCACCTAACTTCTCAAATTGCTAACATGTTGATGAAATTGCTTTAATATAAACTTTATTTTCTAATTCAAAATTAAATTCTAAAGACTCTATCAAGCATTCTCTTAAGCTTTCCAACTCTGGTAACAAAAGAATTCTTATGAACATGAATACGTTATTAGTATTTTTTTTTCTTTTGGAGACACCCTGGCTATAGTACAGTGGCATCATCAAAGCTTACTGCAACCTCAAACTCCTGGGCTCTACAGATCCTCCTGCCTCAACCTCCCAAATAGCTTGGACTACAGGTGTGAGCCACCACACCTGGCTAATTTTTTCTATTTTTAGTAGAGACAGGGTCTTCCTCTTGCTCAGACTGGTCTGGAACTCCTGGCCTCAAGCAATCCTCCCACCTTGGCCTCCCAAAGTGCTGGGATTACAGGCATAAGCCATCACACCTGGCCTATATGCTAAGATTTGATACAGCATTTAACTGAAAACTATGCTTATTTTGAGTATATGTTATATTTTGTTTAGTCAAATAACTGAGAAATAAGTGCTAAACTTGAATCCTATATTTCACTTAAGTTCCATATTTATTCTGATAAAAAAAACTAACATGCTTTCTGACTACCACTTTAGTTGGGGTGGGATGTAGAACATTATATAATACAATAGTAAATGGTCCTGGACATGCTACTATAGATTTACAGTTTAGATATTAAGAGTAGAATGATTACTGGAAAAGACTCAGATAAGCAAACCGTCTTTTCCTGAGGCTAGAAATGTCTCTGGGTAAAAGAAGATAGCCTAGCTAAGGCAAGCACCCTTTAAAGATAGACTTCAACGATCTTTACCCTCCTGATATTCTCATGCCTTTATATAATCCTCTTCTCTTGAGTATAGATTGGATTTATTGACTCACATCTAATGAATAAAATATGACAGAAGTAATGAGATGTCAATTCCCAAATTAGAATACAAAAAAAGCCAGCTTTTGCCATGGTCTTCTCTCAGCTGCTCAGTCTCAGCTAGCTGCCACGTTCTGAGATGTCTTATGGAGAGGCCCACATGGCAAGGAACTGAAAGAATCTTTCAGATATCAGCCATTGCAAGGAACTGAGGACTTCAAGTCCAACAACCCATAAGGAACTGAATTCTGACAACAACCATGTGAATGACCTTGGAAGTAGATCTGCCCAAGTTGAGCCTTCAGATGAGACTGCAGACCCAGTTGATACCCTGACTACTACCTCATGAGAGATTTTGAACCAGGGCCACTCAACTAAGCCACACCCAGATTCCTGATCTACATATACTGTGAGATAACAAATGTTTATTGTTTTTAAGTCATGACATTTTAGGGTGATTTGTTATATGCACTAGATAACTAACATATAAATATAGAACCAGATACATTTTTATGAGAGTTGATAATAGAAGAATCAGATATTTTTAAGTGGCTGAGTTTGAGTTTTTAAGGAAGCATCTTTCAGTTATAGGCATAAAATAAATCATCTTCTAAAAGTGATATGTTGTCTAGCTATTCTAATCTTCTTATCTATACTTGGTCAATAACACTACTTTAATCAAAAAGTACTTATTGAGAATCTACTATGTGCTTAACAATGGGTTAAAATAAATATTAGAGCCAGGAGAGTGGCACACTCCAGTAGTCCTAGCTACTGGGGAGGCTGAGGCAAGAGGACTGCTTGAGCCTAGGAGTTTGAATCCTACCTGAGCAATGCAGTATGACCCCATGTCAAAAAAAAGTATTAGGACATGAATATTACTCTTAAAAAACCAGTAATTGGGCTGGCCAAAGAACATATGGGAAACAGAGAATACGATAATGATAAAGTATAATATATAATAGTATAAATGTACTAAGTGCCTTATGTACCAAATGATTTTGAAAAGAGATATTGATAAAGCCTATTTGGCTTACAAATATCCTTCAGAGGAGGTAGTATCTAAACTGGATTCAGAAAAATGAGAACTTGGAAAGGCAATGGAGAAAAAGCATTTTTTGAGGGGAAGAATGATAGAGAAAGCATATATAAGAAAGACCATGTCATATGGATAGCCTCTAAAAAGATTTACATATAAAATTTATATTACAAAGTGGTAGGAAATATAGCTGAATGAGTAAACTTAATCAGATTAAAGAAAATTCTAGATGATATGCTGATAAGTTTGATAAGATCTTATAAAGATCATAGAGATCTTTACTTTTTTTTTTTATCTTAGAAACAGAGTCTTGCTCTATAACCTGGCCTGGAATTCAGTGGCACTATCATAGTTCACTACCACCTCCAACTCCTGGGCCTGAGTGATCCTTTAACCTCAGCCTCCAGAGTAGCTGGGACTACAGGCTCATGTCACCATGCCCAGCTGACTTTTTTTCCCC